GACTCTCGCACTACACACTGTTGCACATCACCCCAGACTACATTTCCCATCATGCATTGCACTGATTGCACTCAGCACGGATTGCACACAGCTGTTTACACTGATTGCACCCAGCTGTTTCATATCACTCCCTCACTATTTAACACTCACTCTGATCCCTTCCCTCTGCCGAGTATTGTTCAGCGTTTATCACTCCCGTAGCGATAGCAACACTACAGAGCCCTCGTTTGTTTCCTAGCCTTAGCCTTAGCTTAGTTTTGCCTTGCCTTGTCTGTCTCCTTCGGTTTTGATCTTCGCCTGTTTTCCTGGACTTCTCCCTTTAGCCTTGCCCCTGTGACTCTGTCTGCCTATCGTCGACCCATGCTAGCCCTAGGATTATTATTGTCTTGCCCGCCATATTCCTGGTTGCCACTGTTTACCCTGCCTGTCTTATGACCATGTCTCTGTCTTCTCCAAATAAAGCTTTGCATTTGGATCCGCACGTCTCACGTCTCATCAGCCCCGTTACAGCCAACATCCATCACAGAGTTTATTATCCCACAAGGAAACCGGTTTGCAAACTATGGAAGCCTGATTATTCTGACTAAATACACTATTCTTCAAAAGTTTGGGGTTTAATCTTTTTTTTTGTCTTAAGGCTTTGTTTTATTAAAAACAGTAATATAGTGAAATGTTACTACATTTTAAAATAACTTTTTTTTTTATTTGAATGTATTTTGAAATATAATTTATTAGGGCTGGGTTTTGACACAAAGTTCACGATTCGATTCTCATTCACAAGCTTGCGATTCAATATCGATTATTTTGGATATATATCAGGTACAGTACATGCCAAATTTTCTGAAGGAAAAAAAAACGTTCCGTAAAAATGAGAATCGATTAATATCGAGATATCGATATTTTTTACCCAGCCCTATAATTTATTCCTGTGATGGCAAAAATAATTTTCAGCAGTCATTATTCCAGTCTTCAGTGTCACATGATCCTTCAGAAATCATTCTAATATGCTGATTTGTTGCTCAAGAAAAAATTCTTATTACCAATGTTTAAAACAGTTGTGCTGCTGAATATTTTTTGTAGAATGAACAAAGTTCAAAAGAACAGCATTTATTAGAATTAATACATAAACGTCTTTACTGTCACGTTATCAATATAATGCATCCTTCATGAATGCTGAAAACTAACTTGTTTACTTAAAAACGTATTGATCCCAAACTCTTGAATGGTAGTAAGACTACACATCTTGTAACTGCAATTTTGTTTTCTTGTAATTATGAAATTTAAACCTAAAAAAATTCCAGCTCACCTAATCTGCCCCTTAAAGAAATGGAAGTTACTTGTGGCAGAGCATGAAGAGCACCTACCTACTATTATCAAGACCTGGAGAACTGAAAAAGCAAAGCTTAAATCGCACATGAAGACAAAATCTGACCCAGGCATGACTGCCAAACATAATGTCTGCAACTACAGAAGCCAGTTACAAAGCAAAAAATAACCTCCATTAAACTCTTCAGATTGCTGAAGCAAAATAAACAGCTGGAGGGCCTTGGGGTACATCAAACATACAAGGACAGGTGGATAACCCATGATCTCCCTGATGAAAAGACCAGACAGCAAGAGACAAAAATTGAGACTGAGCAAGCCAGAGAAACAATGTAAACGTGGGAAGATAGAGCATCAGAGGAAACAAAGTGTTGCCTAAGACAGCAGAGAGGCAAGCAGCTAAAAGGAGATAAACGGATACGAGACAAGAACTGGATTGGGAATAACAAACACCTCCGTGAGTGACTGCAACAGTGGGACAAATATTTGAACAAAGAACCCCTGAGGAACTAACTAAGACTTTCTCCAAACTAAAACAAACTAAAATGCTACAAGAGTGGGTCATTTTTTGCAAGCAACCTATAGACAAGGCAAATATTTCATTATATTTTTTCATGAATCATAGGCTCCAAATGAACTAGGAACGAACATGATCACAATACTTTGTTTCATGTATATAGTTCATTATAACCTGACAGGAGACTTCAAATTGCCCATTTACCACTACTCCCACATTGCAACTTTAAAGTTGCGAAAAAACAGAAATAGCAACTTTTCTTCCATATTGTGACATACACTCGAGTGTAATAGATTATAGAAAATAAATAATGTAGAATGGAGACTTGGTTCTGTAAATTGGTTGTTAATTGGATTTTGGGATGTTGGTGTTTCACTCAAAAGTGGTGGAAGATGAACGTGAGTTCACAGGGGCCGGGTTTAAGCAAACTAAATGAGTGGAGAAGTTCTCCAATCACCAAAAAGAAATCTGTTGTTTTTACCAGAAAGGTCCAGTTATGAAATTTCCATTAAACATTACAAAAAAAGAGAGAGCGAGAGAAACATATGCACACTTGAAAAATTCACAGTAATCTAACATACATTTAAATAAGGTGAATTTTAATTTCGTGCCGACTTCAAGGAAACCTACCATATGTGATCTACACTGGCTGTGATCAGGCAGGATGTGCAACTGTGTTTATCATGCAACATTGGAAAAATAGGACAAATGCAAATGGCTATGAATGAATTCATAGCACATGACACATTAATTCATCTGAACTGCATGCTT